GGAAGAGTCTGTTGAAAATCTATTAATGGAGATCCTTAATTTCATTTTCTTCACTCCAAATCAATTCCATATACCAGATTTCTAATTCTTTCTTTATCCAAATTCTGTCAAAATAATTTTCAAATTATTTTTGAAGATTCGTATTAATATCTTCCATTCTAAAAAAGTACAGTCAAATGTTGTATCTTATGAGATGGATGTTCATTTGATCTTGTTAGTGCTAGTGCATGGGGAGAAATCCATCTTAAAGATATATGCATTCGCATATCTCGCTTCATTTAATATCTTTCGAATTTCTGCATTTTCTACATTTAAGTAAGCCGTGATTTACTCATTTTTATGCATATATCATGATTTCGGTAAATTGTCACTCTATCTGTATTTGCATGCACATTTTTTTTGTTAAAGGAATATAATTTATGCATAATTTATCCAACATTTTTTAGAGAGTTGAGTTTTTGAATTCAGAAAATTTAAGGACGAGGACTCGCCTATTCAAATGTTAGAAATTTTGGATGCCAATTTGTCGTAGTTATTTTTTAATTTTTTTTTTTAAGATAACTTTATTGTTTGCATTTTTTATTTTTTTCCTTCAAGCAACGTGGTTAGCAATCCAAACGTTATTTTTTGAATTTTAGTTTATTATTATTATGCTTATCTTCATCTTATTGTGGGAGGAATATTTATTTCAAATATGCGTTCCTGACCATTTTGCCCCCTTTTTTTTCTAAATAATGTTATTTGCAATCATTCATTACTATAGTCGCCCCACATGGTTTATATATGGCGGTTAGTGATTTGATGCATAAGGTAATAAAAAACTATCGCATTAATGTATCAAATTACTAACCACCACATGTATGCCAAATAGGATGACTACAACGATAAGCGGTTGCAAATAACATTACTTTTTTTTTTTTTTTTTTTTTTTGGTGGTGAGCTTCTCTGTGTTCCCTTCATCTTAATCTGAATATTCATCCCATCTCCGGATCAATGGAACAATATCATCATGTATTGAACTTTCCGTGCAAAAGTCAGAAAAGGGATAAAAATCACAGTAATTTTGAAAACAAATGAAAATTTAAGTAAAGCATTAAAAATTCGAAATAAAACTAGAGTTAACTAAAACTAACTAAATATTATGGTCTTTGACCAGTAGCGGATCCAGCACCTGGCGAGCACCTGCGATCGCTCGTGCTGGATCCCTCGGGACCTTCAGTTGCCGTTGAGATCGTCGAGTTGCAGGCGTAGGTTGTTGCTAAGTTGCAGAATGCTGAGACAAAGGTCGAAGGGGAAGAAAGAAGAAGATTTCCATTTTTTTATCATTGGGGCTTGGGCTGGTGACCTGGGCCTTTTTTGTTTAAAAAAATAAAATTGGCCCAATAGAGGAAATCATTGGTCCGGCATCCATGGTATTAATTTCCTCCCAACCCAAATTCCCAATCCCTATTCCCCCAACATTTGAAACCGGCAGCAAGCAAAGACGAAGTGCAAACCCTTCCTTCCAATTTCATATTTCCATTCCAAGCAAAAGCAGTAGTCGTGGCACCTGCGAAATGGGTGGGAAGTACGAGTGCGACTGTGTGAGCAATTGTGGATGGTGGACCGTGTGTGAACTGGTGCGATTGTGCGAAGTCAGGGACAACCGAGGCCGAGCAAGCAACGTGGGTGAGTTGAATACTTGAATTTTGCTGGTTGAATGTTGAATTCTTTTTGTTGCAAACCCTTTGTTGACTGTTGATTTGTTGAGTGGAGTGTGTTGACTTTTGAGTGTTTGTTGATAATTGATTTGAATATTGTTTGTACTTTGATGCAAATATGCAATGATGTATTTTGTGTTTTAGTTATACTTATTATTTATTAATCAGTCAGTGAACAATGATGTATTTTGTGTTTTAGTTATACTTATTATTTATTAATCAGTCAGTGAATCAATCTTCAATTCATATAGAAAAGCAAATTAGGAGTTATTACTGAGAATTGTGATTTTTAATCAATTCTAATTGAAAATTAAATTGGAGTACTTTACAAAATATTGAACAATTTTTTTATTATATTTAATCAAATTTTAATAAACGATCGAGCTATTACGATCGTTGATTGTCGATGGTCAATGGTCAATGGTCAAAGTCAATCGCTGTCCTAGCTGAAGATTGAATCTAGATCCGCCCCTGTCTTTGACGATGACTCCAAAACTAGATTGCTAAAATCCCACAAATGTACGATAACATAGTCGATAGAGTGTGAGTACAGTGTTATTCCGAGAAGGATCAAGTATGATTGATTTGGATTATGATTAATTAATCTAGATCTCTCTAAAAGCTAAGCTAGTGAACAACTAAGAGATATATATAAATTTGATTAACAACGGGCACTAGAATTTCGAACTAGCAATCGTAGACAAGGAAAATGTTAATTTAACTTTACTATCAATGTACCTATTTCATTTAGTAAACTCTCTCAAATAATACTAAATTTATCCTCACACATGCTATAATTCTTATTCTCTCTCTTGAATAAAACTAAAATCACTAATTAATTCAATCATCAGCTGAATAATTGAAAGCAATAAAAATATAACAATCATTCGAGATAAATAAGGATTGATGTCGAAGTCTAGAAATTAGCCCGTAATTGCTAAAGAAATGGAGAGAGAGGGAGGGGGGTTACCCCGGTTTGAACTCATTCTTTAAAAACTATTTTTTTTTTTTTCCTTTTTTCAAATTCATTTTTAACTTCACATTCTTCCAAAAAAAAAAAAAAAAAAAAAAAAAAAAAAAAAAAAGTACTTTTTTACAAAAAAAAAAAAAAAAAAAAAAAAAAACAAAACATGAGGACCTGGGTTGGCAGGTTTTCTGGCTAATTCCACTGGAGGTCCCAAATCTTATGTCATTGTGACACTTATCTCCAAACTAATAAATAATAATATACGTTTATTCGATTGTTAAATGGTCACGTGAGACTCGAGTGGTGAGAACTAATTGAAGCAATGGGAAGGGTTTCGTGAATACTTAAAAAAATTATCCTATTTGGAATTCTACATGAAATTTAAAGTCACAGTTTGAATCACGGATGAATGTTTTCACTTAATTAGGGACATGGGTGCCACAATTTTAAAAGATTGAGGACATGAAAGCAAAAAGTGATATATTCGAGTTTACCCATTTTTCCAGCTAAATAACTCTCATATATTATTATCACGTATTATTTAATTTTTCTTTTTTAAAGGTACATGCTATATACCATCTTGAATACAAGTAAAACCATCCTACGAAGAGCCCCTCGGAGCACTTCTCCACTGGCAAAGGATGGGTTCTCTCAAGGCTGGCAGTTCAGAGGTCGTGGATTCAATTCGTGGAGCTCTTGGAAGACAAGACATATACTGAAAGACAGGATTTATCCTGAAAGGCAGGAATGTTTTGGAAGGCAAGGCGCAACGTGTGTTGACTCACTAGGCACTTTGACAGTTCAGTTGAAGAGGCGCTCGGACCCTGATCAGTAGGAGGCACATCCCGCGGTTTAATTGGTCTGTGTGAAGAAAGGCCAGATCACAGACCCAAGAAATAGTCGTCGAAGGCGTCCACCTTGATTTTAAAAAAAAAAAAAAAAAAAAAAAAAAAAAAAAACCACCCTAAAAAA